CAGTGATCTGCCCAACCCCAGCCCTTCCACCCACCCCGAGCCCCCCACCTTCCCTGCGTCTCTCCCAGGGCCCACCTTGCCTCCCAGCCTCTCACCTGCACAGGGGTCAGCGTACTACCTGTCCCCCGACGTCCATCCCGGGGTGCCCGACGCCTCTTCCGCCCACTGGGCCCCTCTCCAGCCACTGGGCTGCTGGACTCGGGGACTGCGGGAGTCCTTCTGGGCGGGGTCAGCCCCTCTTTCTCTGGCGGCTCGTTCTCAGCATTTCCTGGGGTGGGGGCATCTGTGCCCTGGCTGCCCTCGTCCTGGCAGGGGTGTGTGTGTGTGAGTCTTCACTGTGTGTGGCCACTCCCCAGCCCCCCCATGGGGCGGCCCTCACCTCCAGCACGATGGTGAACTGGCCGGCCCGGTAGTCATCCCCGTAGGAGTCCAGCACCCGCATGAGGAACCTGCGTGGCAGAGGGGGTAGGCCACTGTGGGGAAGGCCCCCACAGCATGGGCAGTGCCCCACCAGCAGCAACACAGGCCCCGGACCCTGCCTGGGATGGGAGGTCCGGTCAGTGCAGAGGGGCACTGTGGGCTCCTTTGGGGGCTGCTCTCCCATGGGTGAGAGGCTTGAGCCCACCTCTGTACGGATTCAAGTGACCCTGTGAGAACACTGCCCCTGTGGGTCTCCGAGACCAGGACCCTGCGGGAGGGGCAGAGAGGGATGTGGCGCGCACGGGCTTGTAACCAGGCCTGAGCTGCTGGCTCTATGGGTGGAGCACCCACCATCCCCCTGCACCCTGCCAGCCCTCGGCTCCACAGGGAGAGGCCGGGGAGGCGGGCTGGGGCCGAGTGGCAGGGTTACCTCCGTTCCTGCTGCAGCCTCCGCGTTATCCGCTGTACCTGGTGGAGTCTGTTCAGGACCCGCTCATTCACCTGCGAGGAGGTGGGAGAAAACACGCATCGTTGGCCTTGTCCCTGCCCTCCACCCGTCCACTCTGTAATTTTGCCAAAAGGTCAACTCAGCCACAGTGTCAGCCGCTACCGTCAGTCTGGTTCCTTTTTTGTCTTTTAAGAGTGTAGGGAACTATTTTTTGAAAGAGTCCGAGCCGGGCTGGCCCCGAGGTTAAAGTGCTCGACTGCCAACCAGAAGGTAGGTGAGCTGAAACCAACCGGTGAAACCAACCGGTCTCTCCTCGGGAGAGTGCTAAGGCAGTCTGCTATGTCACCTGATGGGGTACGTGGGTCCTCGGACCCTACAAGGCAGTGGTTCTCAACCTTCCTAATGCGGTGACCCTTTCATACAGTTCATGTGATGGTGACCCCCCAACCATAAAGTTACTTTCATTGCTTCTTCATCACTGTCATTTTGCTACTGTGATGAATCGGGCGGCTCCTGTGAAAGGGTCCTTCCACCCCCCAAAGGGGTCGCGCGACCCACAGGTTGAGAACCGCTGCTATAAGGCATGAGAAACAATGCCAGCTAACATGAGCCTCGCCAAGGAGAAGCATCAACATTGGGGGTGAGTTCATTCAACGTGTGGCCACAAGCAGCAGGCTACCTTGTCAGCTGGTGATTTTGTAAGGTCCACAGGTGAAGCCAGAAATAGCCAAATGGCCCTGGCCAGAAGAGAGGTGCCCCTCCCTTGGCGTACGTCGACATTTCCGCTTTGGAAACCCGGTTGGGGGCACTTCTACCCTGTCCTACGGGGTCTCTACCCTGTCCTACAGGGTCCCTGTGAGCCGGAATCCACTCGACAGCAGTGGGCCTGGTATGGGGTGTTTCCATGGAAGCTTCCGAGCAGGAGAGCACTGGGTCACGTGGGAGTGTTGAGACTGCAGCGGCTGACGCTGAACAGACGTGTTGAGAGGATGGGGACGAACGGACAGGTGAGGCGCAAGGAGGATCACGACATGTGAGCCGGGCCTCAGAGTGGTGGCTTAGTGGCTGCTAACTGCAAGGTCAGCAGTTCAAATCCCCAGCCGCCCCACGTGAGAAAGGATGCTTTCGGCGCCCGTAAGATCTAAAGCAGTGGTTCTCAACCTTCCTAATGTGGTGACCCTTCAATACAGTTCCTCATGGGGTGGTGACCCCCAACCATAAAGTTACTTTCGTTGCTACTTCGTCACTGTCATTTGGCTACTGTGATGGATGGGGCGACCCCTGTGAAAAGGTCCTTCAACGCCCCCGAAGGGGTGGAGACCCGCGGAGCTATAGTCTCAGAAGCCCCGCAGGGTTGGTGCGACTGTCCGAGCGGGTGGTGCTAAATCGGGTGGGCTCCATGGCTGTGAGTCGGGTCTGGGGTTGGGATGTGAGGCTGGGTGCCCGGGATGTGCGGACAAGCGCCAAAGCCGCAGCAACGGCCCATTCGGACTGGCGGAACCCTGCGGGGCAGAGAACTGTTCCCGGGTTCCCTCTGTCAGGAGCTGCTGGTGCGTTTGAACTGCCAACCACGCAGTCCGCAGCGGCCCAGCGCCCAGCCAACTGCCCACCGGGGTG